TGCAGTTTGTCACCTTCGCATTCTTGATGTTTCTCTTTTCAAGTGTTCCTTTCCCTCTGATGTGCAGTCTTTCAGGTCCTCTACTTTGTTATTGCACGCATTGTTCTGTTTTAAAAGAACTAAATAATCGAATAAAGGCATTGAGAGTTTTAGTCAGAATAGAGATACCTCACGGTTACACACAGCTTTGAAAACAGCAATGAAATGCTTCAGCGAACTGTGCATAAACCTATTTTAAAACTTAAATGTGTATAATTTGGAACAAGATCTTCAAACAGCAGGTCCAAGTTTTTTGGGGAAGAAAAGTTTGATATCAACCTGATTTTGTATTTATTTTTTTATTTTATTTTTTTTAATTAGTTCTGTTTCCTTTAACAATACCATTTTAATTTGGTGTTTCTGAATTCTTAGCCTGTACCACTAATCCATGCAAGAATGATGGGACATGCAGGTTGATTGTGTCGACAGGAGAGGCAGTTTGCGCCTGCAGAACTGGCCATAGTGGGCCATACTGCAGCATTAGTGAGTATTTGGAAAGACATTTCTTTTAAATGTGAAGACTTTATTTTCTGCTGTTTTTCTAACTACATGTGTTTGACTGAAAATTACTTGTCTATCTGTATTGTTACAAAATAAGGTCAGGAAATAACCTCGGTGGTTACCAGAAGTGCAGTGTATATTATAAAGGAGGTTATCAAATTAATGAAAAAATAAAAATCAAATAAGCAAAGCAGGTCCTGATAGCAACTTGCTATACAAGCTAATTGTAAAATTAATAATTCCAGTTCCCAAAATCAAGGATTACTAATCATTACACAGTACATGATTTCTTTATTCTCTGCTACAGCTTGATAATAGTGTAATGACCAAGTGTCAAGTGTTTAGACCAGACGATAAATGACAAAACTATGTTACACAACATACTGTTCAACATTTACACTATGAGACATTAACAGCTCTGTAAGAGCCCATCTCTATAATAAAACAGATCATATTCTTCCAGCTGAATTACTTTCCTTATATAGATACAAAGAATGGGAACCATTTTTCCCCACATTCTAAACAAGGAACCTCTAAAATATGAGAAATGTAACAGCAGATTCCACAATAAAAAAAATCACAATTTACAAATATAAAAATATTTTTTTAAAATATTTTTATAAAAATATAAAAATAAATTAAAGACATTAAATCCCATAAATAATAACGCTGAGGGGTATGGTTCTCTTTCAAGGGCACAAACTGGATTGCCATTACATCATTTGGCTTTAGTTTGATCAGAATAAGGGACTGTCTCATAACACAATCTTGGTGTGATAATGGTAATGATGGATGATGTCTCATCTGTGTTGTCTGTTGTCTTGTGGTATAGTATTCGTCCCGGTCTTCAATGTTTACTTGTTTCATGGTCCAAATATGCAAATACAAGACGGCTACATAAATACAGCAAAACACTATCCATTTGGTTAAACCTACTAAATAAGGAAATCAAGCTAAGATGTGTAAAATAATCCAGCTATAGGAGAATTAAGCTCCTCTTTTGCTGTGCAGGATAGAGGGTTTAATTCCTAGTTCCTTGCCATTACACATTGTATGAATCAGATACTGTAATTAGAATTTTTTGTATGTAGTCTCTCTATATATATGGATACGCTTTAAGAAAACTGGGGTACAGAGTCTATCACAAGTCTGCACCAGCCTGTTCAAATGTATTGTTTAATTTAGTTACATGTAAAGGAAGAGTAAATTTGTTTAACTAGCAGCACAGCCAAGGTACAGTACACATTTTTTGTACCATTGATTGGATTGAGAAATACCTAATTTATGTATAATATAATCACCAGCATTGAGTGAAATGCAATACTAACAGAAATGGTCAATTAACAGTTTGAGCATATGGTTACAAAGATGAGGCCAACAGTTGAGGTGACAGTAGAACATCCCAGACGAGTACCACAAGAAATAGCAAACTAGGATAATAGGAAGCACACCTGCTGCCCATTAATACCATTCAATCATATTAATAAGTTCAATCACATTAATAAAACCTGATCTGAATCATAAATGTATTAGAACAGACTTACACTGCTCAAAAGCCTTTTCTGCACTGTATGAAAGAACAGAGCAGGAGGAAACAATGTCCACAGCTGTAT